GTTTAAAAAGAATGAGGCGCCCTTCCGCCACAGGAAGGGCTGTTGATGACGCTGCACATGTAACCCACTGGCGGTGGACTAACAGGAAACGGCTGATAGCTGGAATGAGCAGCTAGTAGCAAGAGGGAAACACAAACCTGAAAGACACTGTAAAGATGAGCAACTCGGGAGACAAGGAATTGCGCACCCTCCTTGCCCTCGCAAACAAAGAGGCCATTAACTGTCAAATGACGGGAACAGTGAAGGACGGGCCGACTTATGAGAGAATCGCTCAAGGACTGACCAGCCGTGGCTTCCCTCCCACGTCACTGTTTACGTCACACGCTGAGCTACACGTTTTGTTACGTGCTCACGCCCCCCATTGTCCCGAAAAAGGCACATTCTGTATGAACAAAAGTAGGCAGGCAGCATTTCGCTGCACTCCCCTTTTTTGTTTTTATACTGCCAATACTGAACGAAGACTGATTGGGCTTTCCTGCAAATTTGCACAATTCCTATTTTATAAGGCACCAACATGATTTCAGAGATGCTTGTCTACTGGCTATTACAGAGTCATGGCTTACTGACTGAGACTCTGACACAGGACTGTCCTTGCCTGGGTTCCGTGCTCCAGTCCGCCTCGATTGTGATGCAAGGGTAACAGGCAAATCTCAGGGAGGTGGGGTGTGCCTCTATATAAACCAGCCATGGTGCAAAAATGTTATCGTCAGAGAAAGCTTCTGCACCAAAGACGTTGAACTGTTGGCTGTGTCTCTTCGCCCCCACCTACTTGTGTCAGGAATTCCCTCAACAATTTGTGATAGTTGATCTGAGTCCATATATAGAGTGACCCAGAGACTACAATCCAAGTCCCCTGAAGCACCCATCTTTGTCCTTGGGGATTTTAATCATTGCTCCCTGTCACATGTGCTCAAAATTTATTATCATTATGTTTCATGCCCAACCAGGCACAACAAAATTCTGGATATGTGCTATGGTTCTGTGAAAGGTGCATACAGGTCCCTGCCTCTCCCCTCGCTGGGCAGGGCTGATCATAACTGTGCACAGCTCATCCCAGTGTACTGCGCTGTTCTGAGGGAAGGCAGAGTCCTCATGAAGCACGCCAAGTTATGGACTGATGATGCTGTCATGCGGCTACAAGGATGTTTTGAGTGCACAGATTTGGACTTACTTAAAGAGACTTCTGTAGACATTGATGAGCTGACTGACACTGTCAGCAGCCAAGTGTCCTTCTGTGAAGAAAACTGGATTCCTAAAAAGACTTTTTAAATCTTTCCCAACAACAAGCCATGGGTTTCAAAATCACTAAAAATCTTATTGGGCAAATTGGGGCAACCTCTCAAAGCTGAATTCTGTGATTAGAGAGATTAAATGTGAAATCAGGAGAGTGAAACTGTCTTATAGAGACAAGTTAGAGAGAGATCTTAGAGACAAGAACTTGGGTTCTGCCTGGGATGGCCTAAAGACCATCACTGGGTCAAGTAAGAGGAACAACTCCAGGGTTCATCTCAATGGTGCTATATCAGATAAACACTTGGCTCAGGATCTCAATACATTTTACACACAGTTTGATACCCGTGATTTTAGCAATGAAATTTTAACAGTGAAAAATGCACTGGAGTGTACTGGCTCTCCTCCTTTTAACAAACAGTCCGTGGTCAAGTCCTTTAAACAGACCAAAGTCAGGAAGAGCCCCGGACCCGACAATATTTGTGGCTGTTTGCTTCATTCACGTGCAGAACAATTTGGTCCCATCTTCTTTGACATCTTTCAGATGTCAGCAATCAGCAGATGGTGCCAAGGAGCTGGAAAGCACAGTTATCCCAGTGGCGAAAACCAAACACCCAAAGGCACTGAATGACTTTGGGCCTGTTGCCTTGACCTCATTAGTAATGAAATCCTTTGAAAGGCTAATGAAGGATGCACTTCTCCCTCACTTACAGCCCATGCTTGACCCACTTCAGTTTGCCTATAGGGCTGGTCGGGGGGTGGAGGATGCTACTGCCACCCTTTTAAATCTTGTTTTTAAACATCTTGAAGGCAGCAAAACTTTTGCCAGACTGCTATTTGTGGACTTCTCATCAGCTTTTAATACTATTCAACCCCATATTCTAATTGACAAGCTTGTCAACCAGTTTAGTTTGGATTTTAATGTTGCTGGTTGGATTCTTGATTTTTGAACTGATAGAACACAGAGAGTTAAGGTAAATGGGCACTTGTCAGATGTTTATAGTTCCCAAGTACCCAAGGTTGTGTCCTTTCACCACTCCTTTATATTCTGTACACCGATGACTGCCAGAGTCACTATGACAACAGGTTTATTTTAAAATTTGCTGATGACTCTGTTATTGTAAGTCTAATGCATGACAGTGAAAAAACACATGGCCCTGTCGTCAATGATTTTGTTGACTGTCTTTCTTGCAACTAAATGTTGATAAAACAAAGGAGTAGTGTGGTAGAGTCTGTGGAGAGGTACAAGTACCTGGGGAGTTTAATTGACAGAAAGTTGAGTTTTAATGATAACACTGACATGATGTGCAAGAAGGGTCAACAATATTTGTTTTGCTTGCGCAAACTGTCACTTTTTCATGTGGGCAGGACCCTCATGACCATTTTTTATAAATCCTGTATTGAGTCTGTTCAGACGTTCTCCTTGACGTGCTGGTACAGGAACCATACCATTAGGTCTAAAAAGTCAGTTAAGAGAATTGTGGACATGAGTAGCAAGATTCTTGGGGTAAAGCAGGCCACACTCTCTGATCTGTACACCAGACAGGTGGGGAGGAAGGTTAAAAGCATTCTGTCGGATGCCAGCCACCCCCTGTTCACTGAATTTCAGACGTTGCCCTCTGGCTCCAGGTTTAGGTTCCCGCCCGTTAAGAGCAACAGGTATAAATTTTCTTTTATCCCCACAGCCATCTCTATCTTAAACGCTGGTCTTGGGAGGCGTTAACTAGCCCTTACCTGGCAGAGTTTTTCAGTTCTTACTGTGACCAGTCTTCATGTGGTGTTTTTTAGCTCTTTTTATTTTGTACATCTATTGTATTGTTATTTATTGTATAATTGTATAAAGTTTTCATATTGAAATTTAAGGTATGTTGATGGATTCACGTCATTAACTCATGAATTGTTTAACATTAAAAGTAAACGTTCCACTTTAAAAGTTGCCGACAGTTGGCCCAGTGAATTAAGTAATTTTTTTGTCAGACTACAGCTGCTGCTAGAGGCAGCAAAACATCCTTTCATTTTATAGTTAGAGTTTACTAATATATGTAAAACCTGCCTTGGTATGAACAGTGATTACATAAGCCTCAAAACCAGCCCCAACTCAGCCATGAGCAGAGTGACTTTTCTAAGTAACAAACAATGTCAATCATTTTTGTGAAGCTTTTCTTAAGTCAGTCATCCTACAAAGAGAACAGTGGCTGTTGAACCATTCTGCTAAGTAAAGTTTCAGGGGAACATGAAGGTTCAGATGTTAATTTCTTCCATTAAAAACTCTTTTGAACACCCAATCTTTCCTTCAAAGCTGAGATATTTTCAACTTTCTAACTCTTTAACTTTAATTTCTCATGGGGTGTGGAGCTCTGAGCCCAGACAACTACCAATATCACTTTATCAGAGAAAACAAGGAGCATTAAGACATTTTAGTGAATGTGTATACCAGACTGTGCTCAGTCCCCCAGCCTGCTCAGACACTGAGTGGATCAGAATAACAGACTGGATCAGACCACCTGAGTACCAAATACAGACTGTAAACGTAGAGACCTACAGAACTGTCTCCTGGCTCAAAGAGACTAGGCTGAATATTCTCTGTAGGTTGTTTTTCAAGTGAGAGGAAGCTCTGCGATATTAAGGATGACACCGCGTTAAAGATGAAATACGGTGGAGGTGATGAATGAGGCTCTGCCCTCGCTGACCCGCCATAAAGCCAGAGGAGGGCGGAGGTCAGAGAGGACGGATTTATGATCCCCTCCGGTTACAGCAGTGACAACATGAACGAAATGTTAGAGAGACCATTTTCAAACACACACACACACACACACACACACACACACACACACATACACGCAGGCTGCTCAACAGTCCTCCAATGAGACACTGAATCACTGCCTGCTACAGACCCTGACCTTTGACCCCTCTGCAGAGGAAGGGTAACTGAATAATTTTTCTTGAAGCTGAACTAAGAGAAGACACTTATAGTTATAATCATGACTTGTATCATTAGCAACAGCTTTTGCTTTAGCAGTACTTTCAGTGTTATTACCAGCAGCTGTACTCGTATTAGCCTAGTGTGTAGTTATGTATTTTAATAAGAATTTGTGTAAGTAGGGTTTTACCATTTCTTTGAACCCCCAAACCAGAACCCTTACATGTATGACACATTCATGCATGAGCACATGCATTTCCATTATAAGACTTGTAATGTTTTAGTTTGATATTCTTAGTTGTAAAAACTAGAAGCTCATGTTTTCCCCCGTGATTGTCCTGCTCTAATATTATTATCAATAATAATGTTGTTGTTGTTTTTGGCATCATATTAAAAACTACAAGTGAAGATTGATATGCCACCACCCTCGTTTAATCCTGTTCCTCCATAAAGATTATTTTCCCCAGTTTGTAAAAAAGCTGATTGATGGTGAGATAGTGAATCTAATTAATTTTTCCTGCCGGCGGCGATACGACAACAAACAGGAAGCAACCCTAACGGACTGTAAATCAGCACACTGCAGCCCCTCGTCAGCACGCAGTGAGTCATTAAACTAAGTTTAGACATGACTGAGCTGAGTGATCAAAGAAAACAACTGAGTCGCTGTGATAATCTAATGATGGTGCAGAATATCACACACACACATACACATACATAATTAGCTCAGCTCCCAGGAGATTTGGTCTCATTGCACTAAATAGAGTCCAAGAATGAACCCTGATGTAATTCCACTTTCTGACAGTCAGATTCAGTCAAGTAGCAGAACAGTGTGTGTTTGTGTGTGTGTTACCGTTAATGCTGCTCCTGTCAATTAGATTGGTGTCAGACGGCCAGTAGGCATGGTCTCCTCCTCGACCTGCGATACAAGAAATAAACAGGAACATCAGGAAAAACAGAACTAGGAAACGGTGGAGATGAAGAAGAAAAAGCTGAGAGTCATTCTGGAGATGGAATAGAGGGACTGGACAGAGAGAGTGGTTCCTGGTTAGGAAATAAATTACTCTGTTAAGACAGTGCGCTCACACACAGACACACACACTTCATAAGTGTGCTGTGTGTCTTTCTCTCGCTGAGGTATCAACCACCTGCATGGATTCAAACACTTCATGGGTAGTCGTTGCCGCAGAAAGGACTTGCAGGCTTGTAGTATTATTCCGGCAGGAGCACTTTTTTGGTTTCTGGATCCATCTGGGTAAATAATGAAGCTGCCATGAATATTCAGCTATTTACTTTACTTAGTTAAGAAAGTCTTAAGGACGAGGACCTCACAAAGACTTGTTCAAATGTGTTTTTGAGCTGCATTATGCTGAATCACAGTCCAGTGTTTGTTTGTTTTTAAATCTGAGATATTTGCCTTGTTTCTCCTACAGGGCCAAACTAAGCTAACCAAGGCTGGGGGGCGGGGAAGGTAATTATTACTATATTGACGTGTATGGTTCTACTGAATCATTTCCAGTGAGAAACATGCTGTCTTCACTAAGTTTTGGTGTTGAGTAATGGCCAGAAAAGTGTTTTTGCAGGACACTGACATCATGGTTAAGTTTACCTTTTGGATATAAAATGTTATCACTTATTCATTTTATTGTATCAGATGTTTGAGTGGAATTTTCTCATAATTAGCACATAAATTCTTGAGTTATGTCTAAACACATGTTTTGTGAGGTCACAGTGACCTTGACCTTTGACCAACGAATTGTAATCAGTTCCTTCTTGGGTTCAAGTTGATGTTTGTGCCAGATTTGAAGAAATTCCCTCGAGGTGCTCCTGAAATATGACGCTGATGAGAATGGAGTGGACATGAAGTCACATTGACCTTGATATTTGACTACTAGATTCTAATCAGTTCATCCTTGATCCTGAGTGAATATTTGTGTCAAATTTGTAGAAATTCCCTTGAGGTGTTCCTGAGATATCATGTTCTCTAGAATATGCTGTAAAATCCAAAAACATAATGCCACTGGTCACAGCTGTCACTGATGGGCGATAAGAGACAATCCCAGCAGAGTGCACAGAGAACAAACATGAACTTCCTGTATAAGATCTGCAGTTGGACCCTCTTGACATAGTCGGCATTTAGCCTGGTTTTAGATCTCTGAATGACCAACCACATCTCTGATTTGTTCATTTTAAAAAGATAAGTAATGCCCACTGATGGCCGTTTAGAGAGCTGCTTACAGCGGTTAGAGACACAATTGAGTTTAGTAGTCTGGATTAAGAATAGGGACACTATCTTTCTTGCCCATTAGATACCTAGAATACGTTCGCGAAAAATAGCCAAAAAAATGAAGATGAAATGAATGAAAATGAGACCAAAGCTGCTGTGCAAGTTGTTGTAAATCACCTCACAGAAATCTTAAAACTCTTAAATCCCTTGTTCAGTAGCTGTCTCATCTGTGCAACCATTATATTTGCTATAAATCATTGTGTCTAATTGATTAATATTCATCTCAAAGAGTAATTTTGAAAATTGGCAGGTATTTCTCCCCCCCCCCCCCTAGTTCACCAGCCAGCAGTTGAGCCAGTATCTGAGTTTGGAACACTGGAGGAACAAATTTAGGGAGTAAATCAGAAACAAATCATTATAGAGACAGCCAGAGAACAGAGATTGGAAACTGATAAGAGAAATTTCCAAAACCATCCACACTGTCGCATCCATGACACAACTCACTCTAAAGACTTCTACATCTCAAAGTAACCTAAAGCCAGACATGATACATAATTCTCACACATTTTAAAGCTAAAAGCTGGTTTCTTCCTCCCACCACCCAGCAGCAGCAGCAGCAGCAGCTGCTGCGTTGAGTTTCGGTGCTGTAAAATACGAGGCAAATTTGATGTTTTCCTGCAGTTTGAAGCTAAAGAAATGCGTTTGATTAAAACTGCATTTTAAATCTTCCTTCTTCGGAAAATACATGCAAACACACACATTAATTATCTTTCTTGTCAGCCAGTCTTTGTGTGTGCATTTAACAGTGTGTATATCTGTGTGTGTGTGTGTGTTTACAGTATAAGGTTCACAGCAACAAGGCTGAACATCAATCTTCCGTTCTCCCCTGACAACACTTCTGATTTATATGGAGAGGGACCACAGTGTGTACATGTGCACATATCACACAGACACACAGACAAAGACACACACACACACGCACACAGACACACATATCTGTCAGTGACAAACAGCACCATTTAACACTCTGACACCAGAGCTGAGACTCTCTGGTTCAGTGTCCCCATCACTTCACTGCGCTGAGATCAGCCGCACTGAAAATTCCCAGAATGCATTTGTGGAACGGTGCAGTGATCACCTCGGACAAAGGTGGTCTGCATGCCATATCCAATCTGTATATTATTGTGAACTATATGTGTATATATATATATATATATATATATATATATGAAATCTTCAATGATGCAGAATCCTGATCATAGAACCTGTTGAGAGCTGTATCTGGATTTCCAGCAGGAAGTTTGAGCACATTCGCTGCCGAGGTTGTCCCTTCTGTTTCTGAATTTCATGGACAAAATATCTCTGTCCAGTAATAATGTCATTCTGTTGGCTTAGGTCCAGTATGCACTGCTTAAAGTCAGTTGTGAGGCAGCTAGGATGAGAGTCAGCACTTTTCAGTCGAAGTTTGTTGAACGCTGATGGGAGATAGTAAATCACCCCCTTCTGGTGGTCAAAAGTGTCCAACTCAATGACTGTGTATAAAGATGGACGGGATGCCTCCACTTCTTCCCATGTGCCATCTTGTGCTGGTGACATCATTTGGAACCTCAGCCTGTGCTGTGTTTTTTACATTTGGGAAGATGTCATTTTGTCCATCTTTATTATACAGCCTATGGTCCAACTGCAGATCTTATGCAAGAAGTTGTATCACATTCTCTGTGGGCTTTGACAGAGTTGTCTCTTGTCAAAAGTTCTATGTCTTATTTTCTTGGACAAAATCTTTAAAGAAAGCAAGAAGAGAATGTCCAGTTTGGTGACCTCAGGACTACATCTCTGTTCTCTAGATCTGTTACTTACATGGTGGTTTAAGGTCGGTCAGCAGTTTAACAACTTTAGTCCTGATTGAAAAATCTCGACAAATGTCAGACGTACTGATATCTTACATACATTTATAGTCCCCAGAAGACGTATCTTGGTGATCCCCTGGCTTCTCCTTAAGGACCATCCAGCTTGGTCTTACACACAGGGTGTCAACACAGTGGCAGATGGACAAAAAAATTAATTTCAACCCCTGCCACTGGCCCCTTCTTACTACCAGTCCATTTTGCATTAAGATACAATGCAAAAGGCTGCCCCTGGTGTTATTATAGGAACACCTGGGATTCTGCCCAACTGGCAAAATATGATTAGGGCTTGTGCCAACACATTGGCATTTGTGGTTTTCAGTGAAATGACTGTTGCAAGGATTATGATTAAATTTAGTTCAGCCATTCATGTCGCCCTGAGGATGCACTGTAATAACTTTGATGGTTTTTTAACTTTTCATCAAATGCCATCTCTCCCCGTCTTCTCTTCTAGTGTCCCCATGTGCTTCACTTTGTGGTTTGGAGTGAATGTCTCAGACACTATTGGATGGATTGTCATGAAATGTCATAGAGACATCCATGTTCTTCTCAGGATGAATTGCTATAAATTTGTGATCCTGACTTTTCACTTAGTGCCATTATTGGACCAAAGTTTCTGCTTGATTAATAACTTTTTATGACCAAATATTTGAAAAACTAATGACATTCTCATTAGTCTTAGCTGTACTTTGTGTTAAGTGTTAAATTAGCAAATATTAGCATGCACAAAGGCTAAACTATAATGGCAATCATAGTAAATATTACACCTGCTTAGCATTAGCATGTTAGCATTGCCATTGTGCAGGAGTTGCCACCAACAGAATCTGTTTCAGAATGATACTAACACTCATTCCGCTTAAAACTCAAAGGCTTTAAAGAAAAATACAATTAAACATTAAAAAATACAAAGTTCTTCATCGTGTTCTCTGAGCTGCTGTGAGAGTTTAAAGTTAAATGACACAAATTAAAAAAGTTTTGAGCGTTCATTAGCATGAGGTCCCCCTCTGCTTGCCGTTTGCAGCAGCTGATGAATAGAACCAGCGAACAGAGCGTTAATTATGTCTGAGTTAATTTGATGAACTTAAATATGGTAAACAGCTCTTTTCCATCGCCTCTCATAAGTCTGAATTAATAACTACAAACGCCTCTTCTTCCTCTCCCGCTCACTGTCCTTTTATTTCTCGCTCAGAGGAAGTTTTTCTTGCCATGTGAATAACAAACAACTTTCCTTCAGCTTGATGAGTCAGGGTTGTTTGCATAAAATGAAAAATAAAATGGAAAAACTGCTTCTGTTTCCCTCTGTCTTCTTCTCTTGTTAAATTAATTTTGAGCCTGAGATTTCAGCAAATCATACTCTGCTGATCCCTCCTTTTATCTGTCTGCACTTTATCCTCCTTTTCCTTCCTTTTCAACACCCTTTCTTCCATTTAACCTCCTTTCTCCTCTTTGTCTCTGCTCTTTTCATCTCATCGTCCTCTTCTTCATCCTTCTATTCTTTTACCCAGGGCTTGACGCTAACTTTTTTCCCAAGGAGCACATGTGCTCCTAAGTTGAAAAAGTAAGGAGCGCACAAAGAACTTTAGGGGCACAATGTAAATTGATCAAATAATGTGTTTTCCGTAATAAACGTGATGCAAATAGACATTTACAAGCAAAATTATTTAATGAATTTGTATACAAAATGTACAGAAAGGTAAAATCATCAAGTTTTGAAATAGTATTGCAATTTAATTTTGTCTTTATTGTTATTATCTTATATATATTATCTTTGCAATATGATTATCTTATATAATGTTATTACTATCCTAAAACATTCTCCAGGTCCTCTGAAACTCTGCAGGACTTAAGCCTCTTTCACACAGAGCTTTTGCGGCGCCCACCGCGGGGTAGGGCGCAGAGGACAGGATTTGGGGGAGTACAGGCTCGTTCAGGAGCTACAGCTCCATGGTGACCGCTTCCGGGTCTACTTCAGGCTCTTCTCTGCTATTGGACGCACGGCACCAAGGTGTCGTCACAGCGCGTTGCAGTGAAATTAAAAAAATTTCAATTCGAGCGCAGGCTGGCGGCGCGCGCTGCTACCTGGCAAGAGCGCCGTGGTAGCACATACACAATGAATGGGTTTGTCGGCGGAGGTCTGTGCTTTGCGCGCTCTGTGTGAAAAGGGCTTTATTTCCACCCTGCCCAGCAGTGGTACCATGGCGAACGGTCCCTAACTGCGAGGAGAACAGAGCAGGCTTCCCCATACGTAGGTCTGCCGCTTCCTCCACACTTTGACTTATTTCCAGCCTGCCCAGCAGTGGTACCGTGGCGAACGGTCCCTAAAGGCCTCTACACATGATCAGCTGTAAAACCGCTTTGTGCTGGCTGTCCCATTGTTTGTCTATGGAGAGGGCAGCAACGCCTGACAAAGCGGCACCGCTACCCTTGGCGTTGCGCACGATATTCATTGTGCCAACAGTGGCTTGGAAAACCGCCCATAACCGTGTCACATGGGGAAGAGGGAAGAGGTAAGGCGGCTGGAGTTCCTCCAACATTTGCGGTTAGATTATCATATTTTTTTATTGACAAAAATATACGCTGCTTCGGCTGATTTTTTAATGCACACATGTGCCCCTAAATATTTTTTACAGTTCGCATACACCTACTTTTTGTCGTAAATGCGAGTGAAACGCTTGCACTGTCGAGCCCTGCTTTTACCTAAATATTTTTTCAGTTAACAGTAGTCGAGAAATAAGAATAAAATGGGAAAATACTCAATAAGGTTGGCTCCCATCCAATCATTGAAAATCAGTGTAATTGCTTGCACTGTTATTCATTTTCTATACATTGTTTTGGCCATGCAATACTTTTGCAGAATTTGAGCTAATCACTTCGTTTCAACAGTCATATGTCCACAGTCTGTATGTCTGTAACAGTAATTTAAATTTTCAGCTTGTTGCTGGGAAAAAAATGGATGGAGATTTGCATGAAATGCCAAAAAAACAAACATGATTCACACAGAATCTCACAATCAAATGCAAGATAACTAGCAACTACCTACTTGACCTGTTTGCTCATAACTTTTGAATCACATCCATTTCAGCCCACCAATTGTTTTTGCATCATCTCCTATATGCATGACATGATTTTGCCAAGTGGGACATGCTCCTGGATCAACATCCCACATTGCTTTCCTGGACCAACATTGCGATCAACCAATCACAGCCGTCTAACATCATCAAGGGGCTGCTCCAGGGTTAGTGAGTTAGCTTGCTAATTTGGGAGGCTATGCTAACAAATAAACTTACTGATAGACTAGAATATTAGCGAGTTAGCTTGCTAACTAGGTAGGCTATGCTGACAAGAAAGCTTACCAGTAACAGCTGCAAAGACCTCCTTTTTCAAAGCCCATTCAAAACATTTTTTTTTTGTTGCACAGCAAGTGTTGATCCAGGACCATCACTGCCATTTTGATCCAGGATAATTTGTTTGTCGATCCAGAACCATCATTATTATCTTAATACTGCACAGTTTTCTTTAGGTTGAACCAGGAACATCATTTCCATGTTGATCCTGCTAGATAACTTGTTTATGTTGATCTTGGATCATAATTCACATATCACAATAAAAATATAACTTTACAAATCTTTGGGAGCAATCAGCAGGGGAACACGGTAGTTGCACTTTGAATCAATGCAACATGTTGCTATAATTTACCAGTAAATTTGTGATGCAATTCAAGAATGTACTGTTTATGCTGAGCAAAATCATCAATCTTGTCAATATTTACTCTGTCAACAGTAACAGCTAGCAATCACACATCACATATTTTCTTCAGGAAACTTACAATATCTAGTTGTCTCTGTGAGTGAGGAACAAAACACACTGATGATCTGAAGGTGTCAGGAAAATTGAAATAAAAAGATACAGGGATAACAGGAAGCTGAAACATGTTGTGAAGATGATTTGAATATTGGAGATAATTATTTAAACATAACTAGAGATTCATATGAATGTTGAATGATGAATTATTGGAGATGATTTGAACATCAGACAGGATTTGAAGATACTTTGATGAATGATAACTTGAATTAGAAGTGATGTGATAATAGAGACATGAACTGAGAAGATGATTTGAAGAGGGATTTTAAAATCAAGAATTCAAAGCCATTTAGAATAAAAAAGTATTATAATACAATCTGTTGCAAAAAGAAAAACACATTGAAGTTGATTTAAAGATTAAAGAGGATTTAATGATGACTGAAAAATCAGAAGCAGAGATGACTGGAGGGGAGAGAAATCATGACAGATTACTGTAAAAATCCAAGCACGCACACACACTAGTAGCGGAAAAAGCCTACCTTGATCATTGGCCATCTTGTCTGGATGTTCCACTGCAACAGCAAGGGAGAGAGAGTCAGCAAACTTATAAAATATAAAACAAAGAAATACATTTACAGATAAAGCAGGTCTTGATCTTCAGTCACACACATACACACTGACAGACCTTTGGCAGTCCTGAAGTGGACGGGTTCAGACAGCGGGCCGACCCCTTTGGCGTTCTTGGCCTGGATCCTGAAGTAATAAACCGTGTCGAGGTTCAGATCCACAACCTGATGGGTCAGCCGGTCACCTGTAATCGCCTCCATTACCCAGTCATCTATTGGCATGTTCTTATCCAGCGTGTAGTACAGGATGTAACCTAACAGATGATGAATTATAAAAATCAATATTTATATCCATAGTGCAGAACAGTTAAAATTAGTATGCTCTTATTCAGTTTGTAAGGAAAATGTTAAATGTTGTAGTGAAAAACATTCATATAACTCAAGATATCATGTAGATTTAATATATTGACCAATATTTCTACTGTAATTTAAGACCCAAAAAACCATTAAGACTTATAAGACGTATTAACTCCGTAACTCAATGAACAGTCCATGAAAAAATTATTTTTTCCAGCAGATATCTTAGTTACAACATGATTGAGCTAGCAAAGCAGTTTTGTGTTGCTATGTGTGGTATTTATTCAGTTTTGGGAAATCACGATGTTTAGAAAGCACAATCTCAGGGAGCGCCATGATCTGTGATGCATCCATATATCAAATGTGCACACCGCCCCCTACTGTATTAGATGGGTGGCACCATGGTCAGCTGAAGAAGAGCGGCTCCTGATGTCACTCTCCTGCGCCGCTCAGATTGCCAAATCATTTTCGAATTATGGTCACTATTTTGCAGGGCAGACCACGAAAATGAAATAGCAATGTCTTCTTTGTTTTCTTTTTGATTATGGCATAAAATGTGCAGTTTTGAAGAAGAAAATGCAAATGCAAATAGGTTGATTGATTATTCATTTTATTTATGAGTGAAATAATGCAGCCACATTCTTACAAATTGAATTTTGGTATCTATTTGCTGGGGCATATTTTGAAAATTAAATCTCAAATGACTTTTTCTTTTTCATTTTAATTAAGTAAAAGAATGAGCAGTCTTGAAGAAGAAAATTAAAATGCAAATAGGATGATTGATGATTAATTTTATTTATGAGTCAAATAATGCAGCCACAATCTTAAAATGAAAAAGCATTTCTGCAAATACATTTTAATTTAAATATTAGTCATGATTCACTTCCATAGATTTTCAGATTTAAGGTGTGACATATTAAATTGAAGATCCTTTTTTAACAGAATTAGGCAAAAGAATATAAATAAGAAGAATGTGTATAAGATCTAAAAATATCTGAGCTGTTTTTGTGTGTGTGTGTGTGTGTGCGTGTGTGTGTGTGTGCGTGTTTGGTGCTTTGGTGTGCTGTTATCCCTGCAGGGAGCGTTTGATTCGTCCTCCAGGACGCTGCAGGAGCAGCAGAGCTCGTTAAAACAGACGGGTTTACAGCCGGGTCGATCGCCCAGAGGAGGAGAGAGAGAACAATGGAAGAAAGTATGTGTCAGTGTGTGTGTATGTGTGTGTGTTTGGTTTGGATAAATAGGCTGACAACTGAAATCTTGTAACAGTGTTCTGATATTGTAAAACAATAATTTTTGGTCTACTTTCAGATATTTTACAGACTAAATGACCAATCTGTTATTGGGAAAATAATCAGCAGGTTAGTTGAAAATCAAAAATCAATAACCACTGATGAACAGTGTGTGTGCAATCTGTAATTGAACAGTGAGTGTGCACCGTGGATAAGTGGAGTGGTATAGTTCTTGTGGTTAGTGTGTGTGCACTCACCTGTGATTCGTCCGTTAGCCTCCATTGGTGGTTGCCAACTGATTAAGATGGTGCGGGGTCGTCCCTCACGACTGATAACTGTCAAATCTTTAGGAGCGGAGCTAGGAGCTGTTGATTATGGATGAACAGAAAATAGAGGAGAAAAATAAGAAAGTCAGCAGTGATAGGATGAGATAATGGTGTGGTCAGCTTCAGTTTCTGTATATCAGTTGATGACAGTATTCCGAAGTAAGTAAACCAGCAGATGATTTGCTGAAATTTAGCAAAAGTAAATTCATTAGATGTTTAACCAGGATTACCAGCACCGTTAAATGTTTATTACAATTTAACTAATGCACTTAAACTAACAGTTTTATATTTTGAGAAATGCTGTAATTTGCTTTCTTGCAGAGACTGGATGACAAGACCGATATATAAATCGTGGCTCCGCTAAGTTCAAGCTTTCGGTCAGAGGACCTTCATCTCCCTGATGAAGGTCCTCTGACCGAAAGCTTGGTTAATTAAAGATACTTGCATTGATCCAAGTGTGCAAATCTTATTTTCACACAGAATGAAACAAATAAAAAAGATGTGCAGTATATGTGTAATATTTTGACATCTAAATCACTTTTATCAAGCATTTTATTTTGAAAGTCAGTGACACAAGTTGAACAATTGACCCCGTCGTCACATTCATCACCGACATGAAGGACTCCAGCGATGAAACTTTGCAGCTTTGACTTAGACATAATAACAGGTAACAGGTGGGGTCTTTTACTGAGCTTTACAGGGATGGGTGGGTGAGGGTGAAGAGATGTTTTCATATAGTTTTGCTGCTGTTAAACGTGGTCCCAGTTTACTTCCATATAAGAAGAATGTTTGCTTTCTTGGATTCATTGTTCATTGTGGAGGCACACAAGAAAACAAAGTTTTCATCATGAATTCAACGTAACCCGGTGATTGATTGATATACAAATAATCATTTTGTGGGTTAAGTATTCCTAATACAAGTACATCTCAATTTTTAAGCTAATAGTAACAATAACTGAATTTCGTAGGCTAATGGACTTTGATAGAGAAGTTTAAATGTTTAATGTTCAAATTTTTGAGCTTCAGTTCAGCTGGATGTTGACGGTAGACTCTCAGATTCAAGCTTGTTAGAGACGTACCTGTCTCATAATTATGCCTGTCATATCAGACTTGGCTGTTTCAACGCAAGTATTCGCCTATTGGCTCCTTTTTTTCCAGTTTGAGAATCTGAACAGGGTTCAATGGGATGTTCATTATAACAATGACATTCATGAAATATGGTAAAAAGCTAACCGTGCTAAGGATAGGTCGGAAATGTGCAACATTTTATGCTAACACTAGATGTCAAACAAAAGCTAGATAGGCTTCTGAATCGTATTAGGTTGCTGTGAGCTTTCAGGGAGCAGCCCTAAAGTTCATACTGTATGTTAGGGCTGGGAAATATAACTATGTACGATATATTGATATATTTTCAAGCAAGATATAAATTTAGACATTGTTTATATACGCTGGAGGAAATCATGAGTTCCAGCTGAGCCTGTTAGTGATGGTGGCAACCTGTACTTCTCATAAATACAGAGGGAGGCCATGGAAAAAATACATGTGCACATACCTGCTGAGAAAAGTAGATGGTTCGAGCACTCAAAAGTAAAATAATTACACCTATCTTCAGTTTATAATCAATGCTCCTCAGCGGTTGACTACTCAGCCTGATCTGCATCACCAAAACAATCATTTTAACTGAAAAACACTAGATTCAAGATATCAACCACTTCCATTCACCTCATAGAATAACTGTTAACAATCAATTAACGGTCCTGAACACAGAGTTGTTCAAGTACTCTGACTGATTGGACAGGTTGGAGGAGCTATCTTGAGAATTTCATAAAGGCCCTCACTAGTAGCGTCCCTGTCAACATGCCCTCATTCCTAGGTCGTCATATACTGACATTCTGTCACACCCTTTGTTGTCTCATAGTGATGGACAAGGCATCCTTTAGCATCTATTCTCTATAGTCCTTTCTACACACAGAGCTACAGAGCTGCTATGAAGTCCCTCCTTAATGTTGCCTTTGCATTTTTACACAAAACCAAACACTGGCAGCATCATGCAGTTCCAGTTTGTGATTTTAGACAGTATGCCAGCATCACAGAAGCAAAAGAGTTGTGACGGATATGATGTAACACACCAGTGTCTGTCAGGCCTCTATTGTGACATATAACATACACATCAGCAGTGCTTTCTAAACAATGACAATCATTTACTGCCCTGTTATATGCTGGTTGATCTCGTCCTCCGCTTAGAAGGTAAGGAGCACCCAGACCTCATTGTTTTCCCAATTTTGGCCGCTGTGCTCCCTCTTTGAGTTTACTGCTAACTGTTATCAGCTGCTTTTTTAATCTCCCGCGAGTTGGTGGCATGCATAACACTTTGACAAATCATCAGACCCATTTCGCCCATGGGCCCATCCTTTTGACTGTCCTCTTTACACAGACGTCATTTTAGCGCTGTTATTATGTCTGATGGCAGCTTAAAGGCAAGACAACTCTAATTTGAATGTAACTTAAATAACTTTATTAAATAAATTACATTAAATGATGATATACGTATTATAAAATGTATCTTTTTTTATTATCATTATTATTTACAGCACCATTTGCATATCAGGTGAAGGTTGGGAGGGATTGTGTTTAGGTTTAAGCCTCTGGGAGGCATGGAAGTTGCATTACCCTTTGCCCATTGTATTTCCACATTTCTTGCTGTGCACTAAGTGAAAATCTTGTCCTGATAGTGATAGTAGTGCTAGACGGCAAGTTAGTGGGATCACCAAAATTATTCAGATTCATCCTCTGGGGAGCAGGGAAATCCACAGCAAATTTGATTTCAATTGGTCCAGTAGATGTTGAGAGATTAGTAAGAGACCAGAGTGTGTGGGCTGATATCACCACTTCTAAGACTCTGCCTCTGGCAGCAGGTAAAAACCAACATATAATATAGTGTCCCTCAGCTGGTCTCTTTTGGACTCAGTGGGTGATTATTTAAAGCAGAGGTATTATGTATTAAAGGCAGATTTTTCTGTGTTTTGCTGTGAAAATGTGGTCAGTGTTTGTGTGTCCAGAGCTGGTGGTGGATCACTGCAGGGACTGAGTGGGCTCAGTCTGTCTGCTTGCTCTGAATGTCAATGTATTCCAGCAGGCCCCGGGGAGTCGGCTGGGGTAATGCCGTTCACGCTTAATTGGGTGACAAATCCGACAAACATGATTGTAAACATCCTGAAAGTGATACCTTGACATTTTGATTTCAGTCTGTGGTTGGGTTGCATTGTTGCAGACAGTTGTTGTGTTAATGCGGGGGAGAGTGGAGTTTCTCCATTATACCTCACTGAACCAGAACATGATTTCTGTGCATTGTCAAACCCCTTATTAAAAGTAAGCGCTGTTCAGGGAGGAAAAGAATATAAAAAAGTTCCACCCCCATGTTGTTTTGGTGAACCCATGTTTCCTAAACCTGCCCTCATTTAGTATATAGTTGTTTTTCCCAGAACGACTTTAAACAAATTCTCCAGAGAAAAACTGAACTGTCTGTGTTAAACCGAGTGTTTTCCATGTCAGTGAAGAAGAGGAGGGGATGAAGGAAAATGTTATTACAGCTGAAAAATGATCACCCACTAACTAGAACTCTAAAACTTGGTAGTGTGAATGTTCATTCCTGACCTCAAGAAGAGTAGTTCGACAGCAAAAACTTAATTCAAGTTTCATTTGATATAGCATAGCATTAGCTCAGGCAAAGCAATGAAATTGCATACATGCATTAACCCCCTGAGACACCAGCTTTTGTTTGTATTTATTTTTAATTTCTCCTTGTGTTTCGAAAGAGAGGGACCTGTTAAGTAAAAAATAAAATAAAATAAAATACACATTGCCTTTCAGCAACAAGTAGTTTTTGAAAAAAAAAGAGAAAAAAAAAGTCATATGGGGACACTGAATTTATTTTAAATAATCACGTTTGTAATGAAGTATTAAACTGTTTATTTCGCCTGAAAATTGTTCAAAAACTAAACAACAAACATTTGCTAAATGTTTTATAACTCCGAGGTCACCATTTAAGTCTAAAACTGCTCAAAAGTGTTCATTTCAATGCCTGAACGTGGCTGTGTAAAAGTAAAACTGCAAATTATGTATCATATTATTTGCAATTTTGCCTAAGCCTAAAAGTCTTTGAATTTGTTCATGTTGTAGCTCTGTATGAATTGTCATTGCTCCATTCTCCAAGCTAGGAATGTCCTTGTGTGTAAAAACAGTCTGTCACACCTACTTGGCCTGTGTGAAATGCAGCGATAATACAATGATAAAGCCCCAATGTCCTCACATAGTACTTTTCTAAATGACAGCGTCTATTTAGCCATTTCTAAAACTGGACAAATTTGAGTGCCATATCAAACTACAAATATTATTAGGCATTAATATATACATTTTAACCATAGAATTTGATCAGATTTTGTATCTTGTCTACTTTTGTGTCGGGATCAGCTGTGGACCTATTTGGCAGAGATGGCCGCCATCTTGTTTTTACATGGATTAGTGTATTTTTTTCTTGCTACTATTAGATGGCATGATTGAGGTCTCGGTTAAGCAGAATTAAGTATAAGGTGCAGTTATCCCAAAATATCCTCATATGAGGACACAGAGTCGTAGGCAAGCTGCGTTCACACTACAAGGGACAATGCCAAACTACGACCAGCTGCATTATAGCTGAGTCCAGGGGTCGCGTTAACCGGATATTCTCGGTCATTGACTGGTTTTTTACAACAATGACCGGAAAATCTGAAAGGCCGTCGGTCATTTGACCGGTTGCAATTACCACCCCTGCCCACTTGGCGGGGGAGTGCACAGTCAGTGGTTTAAGTGACTGCCGTTTTCACACTGCAGAGAAAAAGTCATTCATCTGTTTCATGTAGCGTTGTTAACATAACGGCCTGGACACACCAGATGCGTTAGTGCCGCAGAAGTCCTGCGAGTGTACTTGCAGGCGCTTGACTGTCCACACAGGCAGCGCATTTCTCCTTTGCTCTCCGTGCCGGTTAAACATCGACTCCATTCGTCTGTTCCCGTCAGTACTCGGTTTTTCACTTCAACAGGTTATTTTAAACATGGGTAGGGCCATATTTTAATCCTTTTTTATAATGTAATAAGTTAATGACAATTTGTCATTGCATGTCCATGTATTGAGCATGTTGGATTAACACTGAATGAATAGGGCATATTGTTCTGACCATTTTATTTATGTAGTCTGTAGGCTCAGTGACACAAAATTAAAATTGTAATGAAGTGATTAGGGTATTGAAAAATGTGTTTGATTATGCACTGTTGTGTTATTTTAAATTATAAACATGGTATTCCCTCACGTTCCTCAGTGCATGCTGTTGTTATTTTATGTTGAAAATTGGCCGGATTCTCTTGTCTTTTCTGTGTCCGACTTCCTTTTTGGTACGATCCGCTCGATCCAGCTTGACAGAAGCGCTCGCGGCTCGCGTGTAGACCAGACGCTGAACTGAAGCACTGCGGTGTGTGGATGTCTGTTCATCTTTTCGTTCATGTCCTTATTAATGCACACTTTATAACTTGCTTGTTGGATTTATTAAAAACGAACGAATGAAAACTAAATGTCTTTGAATATCTTTATTATCATTTAAAAACGAAAATTAAAATGACCTGTAAAAATAGATTATGACCGGATTTTTACGACCCTGTCGGTCAAAATGAACGGCGATGAAAAAGTCTAGCGCAACCTCTGGCTGAGTCGCTGTTAAAGTGTTGCTCAAGTGCTTGTAAACCTAGTTATGTCGTCACGGGCCTGTGTGTGTCTGCTACATGCCACAAAGCACCTCAACTGAACGTCATCTGAAGTTTGGATTTGGTCCATAAAAAATATCAATGCATTTGATCAGTTTCTGAGCCCCATTTTAATATTGCATTTTTGCAGGTCCATTGCATCCCTGTGGGCACTGCAATACACAGAAAGCTAGCATAGCGTCAGCTAACTAAGCCAAATAACACAGCACCACGGTTAGAAACAAAAACAAATGATAGGTTGATGCTTCACTGTGTGACAGTTGCATTGAAAAAAGCTGAGGCCAGCTGAATTTGTAGCGCATCACTCCCGTCCGCACCAACAAGTGTTGGGCGTCAGTTTGTAGCTTCATGTCACCGCCTTTCATTGAAAATGACACGTAGCCTGTTGCTGTGTCCTTTGTAATGGGAACAGACCATTTGCTGACTGGCATCAGCAGAGTTTTCTAAGGTTTTTCTTTTAAATGTCTCAGTTGTCTAAATCAACAGAAATCATCAGAATCAACTCAGTGGTACTGAGAACATATCACCAACCATTTAACAAAGCTGCGTTTCCACCAAAAACTTTAGGTGTAGTACCTTGAGAACTGTATGTAACCTGTACAGACATGTACCTAAACTCTAGATCTGTTAAGTGTTTCCACTGCAGACAGCGATCTTAAATGTTGGCAGGGTTACTGTCACTTACTGCTCTGTCCAACTCAGCCCTGTGCAAAGTGTTGATTCTCTATTGACCAATGAACAGACTTCAGTGTATCTAACTCCACCTTTTCATATCAGATCAGCATGCTGGATAGTTCAGCAGAGGGGTGACCAAAAATGGGGATGGTATGGAATGGTTCTGTTGGTACCATCCACAACATTTTACAATGGAAATGTAAAAATAATCGTTCTAATATGTACTGAACTTAACTAAACTGAACTGAACCGGACTGCTTGGTGGAAAGGTGTTATCAGGTGTTATCCAAAGCAGGCTGTTCTCCTAAATTGTTTGTATGTTTTCCTATGAAAAGTAATGCACCCAAATTCATACATATTCCATGTAGGCATGAACCAGTTACACATGTATTTTGGAAGGGTACGATTACATGAGTTACACACAGATGGAAGCAAATGAAGCAGTCACATGGTACCTCTTCACCATGTTTTTTCTCCGAAACCTCACCGCAGTAACTTTATTACTAAAGCTAAGTTCCATAAAGTTACATTAATAATGTAACGTTATGTCATTAGTTGGGCGCTACTTCGTAGAATATCATACGAACCATTGTATGTGCATTTTTGTAGGATTTCATACAAACAATATGTTGTGGATATGTTGTCTAGAGTGGTGTATGACATCATATGTGAGAGCTGTGGGGAACACTACACAGGTCATGCAGTCAGACCGTATTCCAAAGATTTGGTTTGTGGTGCACAGACACAAGTAAAATTAAATAAAAAAATAATAAATCCCTCCAATGTTAAAAAAAATACTTTTAAAAAAAAATACTCATAATAGTAACGGTAATAAAACAAAGATCCCAGCCTATAACACTGCATATTTCATTTAAGCAGTCCCCCCTCCATGCTGTGCTCAGGTTAAGGCTAGGGGATATTTTATGCCAGTGCAGTCCTCACATGGACAAAACTAGAAACACGAGTGTGCGTGAGGCCTACCTGCTTCATATGTTGTGGCGTGTGCCGTCATACTCCAGGTGCTGGACTTGCGACCTTTGGTTACCATGACAGCAAACTCATACATGGTGTTTGGTTTGAGGCCGGTGACAGTGTGGCTGAGCGCTGTGGTGTCTGCAGACTGGACACATGATAAAGTTGTAAAAATAGATTAAATTGTAGGAAAAGGTGATGTTGTTTGTCAAGACAGAGGAATACAGCTGCTGTTACAATTTATTATGTATAGCAGACACAGTTTAGATATTTTTGCCTTTAAAGAAGACAAATTCAAGACATAATGACACGAATATTGCAACAGAATTTCATAAAACTTTGAGAGTGTGTCTGTCCTCCATCTTATTTCCCGACTGTTGTGGAGACAGACACAGTCAGTCTGTCCTTGTGTTTGTACTTTAAAGATTATTTCCAAGACTTCAACATCAGTGAATATTACCAAACCCCAGCTGCTGCCTAAACTCAAGTGTGTTTTCATTTTAAGACCAGACTTCTGTTTGTCCTTGTGACACCAAGAAAATGTCTTATTTTTTTTAGAATCTGATGAAAAGAAAAAATCCTTGTTTCCCCCCAGCTGCAGTTTATTAAGGTGAGCAGACTGTCTGCCCTTGTATAGATTTCCTATTGCCAATGTTTTTTGAAGCAGAGTTCAGATTATTGTTTAATTTTTTTTCCTGAAATTCAGAGAAGAAAAGAAGTCTGTCTTGTTTTCAATACAACCAAAATAATTCCAGATTATGTTTTTATTGCTGTACTGCTCAATGATCTCAGCTGTTTCTGTCAGCTGGGAATCATTTCTTCAGAGATTTATTGATCAATAAAAGATTCTGAAAAAGACAAAAGCAAACAAACACATAGTGCAGTTTTCCTCAAGTCTGTTTTATGCTCAGATCACTGTTACTCCCTTGATGCTCCATGAGTACTGTTTACAGTAGCTGTGCTCCATTCAGTCTTGCTGGTGAGCTTGTTGTTAGAGAGCTGAAGGGAGGGAACACCTGCTTGAATTGAGTGCAGGCAGCACTGGAGATGGCAGGTATGACACTTTTTCCCCTATCAGTTGATAAACATTGGCTGTGGTAACACTCCTTGTTCAGAAGGAGCACTAATGAGGTGAGCTTAAAACATAAGTACGGGGGCATTTTGAATGTCTGCAACAACGTCTGTATTTCATGACAGATTTAGTTATTTTCTTGCAGGTCACAGGTGTTATTAAGTCCTGAGTCAAGTCCCAAGTCAGGACCAGCAAGTTGCACGTCAAGTCCAAAGATAGGCAAGTTCCAAATTAATTACCAAGTCTGGTAAGTCCCATATCAAGTCCAAGTCTTACACTGTGTATAATGTCCTAAATTAAGTACAAGCAAAGAGCCGAAATGCTGTGGCCTAACCATAAGTTTGTTCTGCATACTACAAGTGTTGCTGGAGTTTTACCTCTACAGACTTTTGCCTCCTTGATGCACCCTGGAAGAAGGTGAAGTAGTGCTGGAAATCCCTGCTTTGCTTCCAAAATCCTAAATACAATAAGTCCCAAGTCAAGACAGATGAGTCCTAATTTAAGACAGGTAATTCAAGTCAAGTCAAGTCTAGTGGAAGGTCAAGACTGGTAGGTCATAAGTCAAGGCCCAAGTCAAGACAGGTAAGTCCCAAGTTGAGCTACAATTTCCAAGTCAAGACAAGTAAATACCAAATCCAGTCCTAATTTAAACCAGATAATTCCAAAATCAAGTCTGAAGTCATAAAAGGTGAGTCCCAAATCAAGTCCAGTTTAAGACAGGTAATTTCCAAGCCAAGACCCAAGTCAAGACAGGTAAGTCCAAAATTAGGCTACAAGTCATGACATTTAATTCCCAAGTCAACTTCCAAGTCAAGGCAGGTAAGTAACAAATCCAGTCCAAATTTAAGACGGATAAATTCCCAAGTCTAGTCTCAAGCCATGACAGGTAAGTCCCAAATAATTTAAGACAAGTAATTTCCAATCAAGTCCCAAGTCAAGACTGGTTAGTCCCAAACCAAGTCTCAACATGAGAGAGGTAAGTCCCAAATCAAGACAGGAAGTTCTCAAATGAAGTCCTTAATTAAAACGGGAATGTCCCAAGTTGAGACACAAGTCAAAGCAGTTACATCTACAATCAAGTCCAAGTCTAATAAGAAGCATAGTTTTTAAGATCTGGGCTTGGAGATATCTAGTCCCTCCAAGTCAATAGTCCAAGTGACGACACAAGTCATAGAGTTAGGTCTTTTTTTGTTGTTGTCACTTCTCAAGTCAATTCTAAAATCAGTTAGAGTCCTTAGATTCATAACTTGAGTCCAACTCATGTCAAAGTCCTATCCACACCTGTTGCTGAGATAATACTAAACTAAGAAGTGATGTTGACCAGCTTCACATTAACATCATGAATTAACTCTTACCTTGTACTTGCCACTGGTGGAGTAGCTGGTCTTCCATTTGACGGAGTAGTACCGGACCTCAGACGCCTTCTGGTTCTTGGTCATGGAGTTGTCGGCCCAGGAGACGCGGACTGAGTCCGAGGACAGAGCCACGGCTTGGACCCCTACTGGGGGGATCATGGGAGTGCTGGTGTCTGGCATGGGAGTGGGGTATTTATCAAAGAGGTGGAAGAGGTCATCCTCAGATGGGTCAATGGGGTCTGGGGGGGGGTTGTTAACGGTAACCAGAGTGTTTGGGGATAATAATGAAATCATACAGTAATGAATGCATGATAATGAAGATTTATATATGCAGACACGAGTTACACAAGCATTCAGATTAATATAGGTTTGTTACGTGTTCATATACACACAAGTGTGAACAAAATGTAACATAATAAATACATAGATGGCATGCATGTTTGGAAGTGACATGCAGGAGGCAGCCATGTTTGTTGAGAGGAGGGAAGAAGAAAAGGAGGAGTGAATGGATGAGGAAGTGAAAAAAAGAAGAGAGAAAAGGAGAGAAAAGACAAAGAGTAAGAAGACAGTGGGAGGTAAAAAGCGTCTTTTACTTTAAAAAGGAAGTGGAACCTCAAATCCACAGAGGGGCGGGGCTTAAAGGACAAAACACAAAACCCAGACATTTCAGAGTTTTTAGCACTTGTTAATTGCTACGCTGAGGAGAGTGTTATCATAACTGATAGAACTGATGGCTTGAGCTATGCAAATAAAACTTTTTTAAACATATTGTTTAAAAAAAAAAAAGAGTCCTTACAAATCAACACATTCTCACTCCTTGTCACATATCGATCTTTGGTCATGGACTTTCCATGTCAAGATACGACGTGCAAAGTACACTGGGTCTGTTGGTTGTGTTCTTGGACGTAGTGTTAACTTCAACCTGTTACATGTACTGTCTGTTTTCAAAATGCATTTCCATTTTAACAGGACATAGTTTGCAAACAGGCTCTTTCAAAATAAATGCACTATGATGGTTCAACAACACAAATTAACGTTCAACAAAAGCATGTGGTTATGTTTTGCCTACACACACAAACGGTTGGGTTTAGGCAACAAAAGCCTGTGGTTGAGTTTTGGAAAAAAGAACAGGGTTCAGCTTTACAATCACATGGGAAGTGAACACCGGCCTTCCAGGTGAAAGTCGGTGGTTGCTGGACCCATCCACCCGTCCGTCCCCACACTACTCATACTGCTGCCGTCTTAACTTTTGCTGTTGTCCTGCTGCGTGTCCCCCTGAAGCTGCCAGTTTCCGTTAAGCAATAACGACAACCTGCCAGGTATTATGCTGACGTGAAAAGACATTTTTTTTGTGTGTGTCTAACGCCAAAAGTCACTGATCAAGCACCGATTTTCGATGACTTTGTGGTAAGATCGGATTGAACGTCTGCGTATATGCAAATTTATCACATGTGTAATACATGCCACATGTGAAATCAACCACTACATATTCTACATTTCAGACTTAAATATATCATGTGCCTATATATCATGGATTATCACAGGGTGGTGAAGTGGTGCTTCATGTTTTAAACTCACAGGAGGTTTTTATATAAGAGCTTGTGAAAAAAAGAACAAAATCACCAAAATTTGAAATACATGCTTTCCAACTGACACAGTGTTGTTTTTCCAGCCATCATATCAGTTCCCACACTGCTGGCTCTTATATATTTGAACAAATGAAACCCATCTGTGGATCTGTGCCTCCAGCCAATCAGAGAGCAGATGCTGCCTTCACATGCTTTCAGAAATACTTTGGATGTGAGCATGTTTTGGGAACCTTTTGTGAATCAAACTGGCAAGTACTTAAACATGTAATTGAACTGCTCCACTGTGAACAAAAATGAAAACAGAATTATGACATTTTAAAATCAATTATGGTTTCTGACATGCAGCACCTTAACATCTCATAGGATTTATCAGTGTGACCTCTGAATCAGGAGGTTAAGACTGGAGGAGCACCTGAAGGCAGCAGAACATGAAACAGATGCTAACTGAAAGCCGGAAAGAGAAGAGATAAAGATATAAACATACATCAGGTGTGAAAGCTGTTTTCTGGTTCACTGCAAAGTCACTGTCATGAATTTCAATTGAATCGTTATTTTTAGTTTAATGCAGTAGAAAAGCCTGCAGGGCAGTTGAAGATGATGATTTTTAGTGCAGGAAGATCTCTGTGAAGTTTGTTACCGATTGTTTTCTTGTTTGTACCAAAATGTTACCCACTGAGTTTGCATAAGGGAAAAAAATAAAACATCTGAAACTTAAAATGAACAATAGAATGTATAAATATTAAATAGAAATGATACCAATAAGCCTAAGAAAGACACAAACTTTTTTTTTAATGTTGCTCTAGTTTCAGGAATGAGACCAGAGGAAACTGATCTATGTCTGTCCCTCTGCAACTGTTTTTTTCTATTCTAACATCTATTTTTATCTCAGTGTCTTTTCACACACACACACACACACACACACACACACACACACACAGATTTTAGAAGTGTAACTGGAACAAATCATTTCTAACTCTGCTCAGCCTCCTCTGGCTCCACATCATCAGCCCTTAAATCCTTCACACTGTCTGGACTGTTAACCGGCAAAAGTAGCCACAGGTGCAAATGGGATATCTGTTGGTTTCCATGTGGGTTAACATCAGCCCTAAACTGACCCACTGACAAGTAGTGCCTCTGGTTTATCTATAGTAACCAACAGATAGCCCATCAGTGGCCTAGTATTCCCCATAAAGGCTCCACTTGTGCTCATCAATGGCTGTTTCCCCAAAAGTCCGGGCACCAAAAGAAAATGTTAGCATTATATATTCTGCAAACCACATTTGCACATTTTGCACATACCATATCAATGTGGATAGTGGCAGGAACACTGGGTATTTTATGCCAAAGCATGATCTTTCTGTACCTATACCTTATCACACATAAACCACAGCATTGTTTAAATATTAAGTTTCAAAGTCTTGCCTACATAATAATGTACAAATGTAATGTATCCTGGTTTGCAGACATGTACAATACCAACATTTCTGGTGTTTGGGTTGTTCCCCAGACAACCATGGCTTAGGAGGCGGGACTGAGAATGGGGACATCATCTTCTGCATAACTAGCTACCTAGCCAAGTTCATAGCTGGTGACATCACTAAAGAATGAAATACACAGTCAGAAGACCACACAAAACTATGGTGAAATGGTGAAAATTACCAACCCAATAGTCCATTGTAAATGTCTATTACAGTTTGCGTACCAACTTACTGCTTCATCTTCATTAATGTGTAGAGACAGAGACAGTATATGAGCATTTTTATGAGGGTCAGGAAAGGGATACGATCTCTTTGTGTGCTCTTAATGAATTTGAACAAGAATGATAATGATAAAGAATTTTGACAAGTTTCTGGGCAAATTTTTGTTTCTCACTTTGCATAAGAGATTCTGCTGCACTGATTCCCAATGTGCAATTTAAATTTTTGTTTTTGTATTGAATACAGCGAGCCTTGTATGCACTGCTTTGTACTGGTTTCAACCATGCAGCTAAATCTTGGTTAATTAGCCAATTTCATTCAATCTCCACTTCCCCATGTCATTAAGGTTACAGTGACAGCTAGCTAGCAGACAATGGATCCCCTGCTCTGAACATTCCGGCCAGAAACAAAATATATGTGTTGTTGGTTCCTCTGTGCTGCTCTGCATTAATATGATAGATGTTAATTTTTTTTTATAAAATAGATGTTTCTAATTATTTTGAGATTTTACAATGCAATGTCAGAAAAAAAAAACAACAATTCAAAAACACCTACTTTCCATGTCCTACCATTTTAAAAGCTTTTAAAAGATTGATTTAAGACACTGTAATACCAATTAGGGCTTAATTTTACATTATTGAATTTAATGCCCTATAATACTAGGATGTGCTGGAACCCTAAAAAAAATGCAAAAAAAAAACAAACAACAAACAAACAAAAAATCAACACAAATATTTTCAAATATTTGTATACTGAGGTAGATTTTCAAGACCAAATGTTATTAGACTGATGAACTTTTTTGGGAAGTTGTTAATATATATGTAGAATACTGACATTTATTCAAGTTGGGTTGTATTTATTTGTAAAATTATTTGACATTTTTCAAAACTGTTGGTACTTTGAATTGGAAAATGCATTTATGAACACCATAAATAACTCATGAATCATCATGTGCATTTCTTATTTTTTTGTGGATCTATCAGGCTTTATCATTGACATTTCAGAAGTGGTTGAATCAACTATTAGTTTGTTTCGACTGTCTGATCATCTAACTGTGTGTGTCACTACCCATCAGACTTCTTTGTGATGATGTCACCATGCACCCAAATCTTAGATATTTGTCTTGATGAGTACAATGTTATCATTATTAATAGAAATGATGGACAGAACCAGAAAATTAGACCTGGATTCACATCCTTAGATCCACCCAAGGAAAAAGTGACAACCACTGCAGTTGGTGTGATTTGATTTGCTGTTGAAAAATGGAGCTCTAATGTTTCTTTCACACTGATTCTATAATTTAAACCACTTGAATGTCGAACATGTTGTGGTGTTGACTTTCAGTGTGAGTTCATGTGAAGGCAACATCAGTCCTGGGAGATGAAGGAGGCTCGTCCTGTTGTGTCTGCAGTCTAAACGAGACCACTGAGAGAGTCAACACTGACATCTAATGTGCTGCTGTTGAAGAGAGATGTACAGCTGCAGGCCAATATAGAGAGAGAGTGAGAGAGATTGATGAAAGAGGTGTTTGGAGCTGCGGGGCGAGCTGCAGCAGGCAGTGTCGTGGTTAAACTGGTCATCCAGCATCACAATAAAGCTCCAGTCAGGACAGAATACTGATGAGGATGGAGAACACGCCCCCTCCTCCGCCTCCTCCTCCACCAGACTCCTCCTTCTACTCTCTCCTCCTTCTATCTGGTATTTCCTTACTCTCTACATCCCTCCTTCCTTCTTGCTCACTAGTCTTCCTCCCTTCCATATTTTGTTGCACTCCTTCTTTCCTTTCCTCTCTCTTCCCTTTTTCCTCCTTCCTGTCTTCCTTCTCCCATCTAACTACCTCAATCCCTTCCTCCTTTCCTCAGCTAACCTCTTCATCTTTCCTTTATTCTTCTCCACATTACTTTTCCTTCAGTTGCTCCTCCCCCACTCTTTCTCTCTGCCTCACTTCCTCCT